CAGGATCAGAGAAAGCTGAAACCATTCCACTTTTTGACAGATAGGTCTGTCAGCATGTCTTTCTTGAATTCAAAGGAGAAGGGGTGGTAAAGCAGAAATGAGACAATTAAAATGATTACCTTCTTTCGTCTATCTCCTAGACTATTCATTCAGTCATCCAGTAATTGGGTAGAGACTAGGTCATCCAGTCTATCAGGCACCACCTTTATTGGGCCCTTTTTTATGGCATTCTATGCTAATATTTCTTAGGACCATATTCCTCATCTCATTCTACAAACTCCCCCTGCCCCTTTTATTTCTCCCCTACTTAGCAGAGTGATAGCGCAGTGGATAGAGCGTTTGCCTGGCACACGGCCTACCCGGGTTCAATTTTTCCGTCCCTCTTGGAGAGCCAGGCAAGCTACTGAGAGTATCCCGCCCACACGGCAGAACCTGGCAAGCTCCCTGTGGGTTATTTGATATACCAAAAACAGTAACAACAAGTCTCCCAATGGAGACGTTACTGATGCCCGCTCGAGCAAATTGACGAACAACGGGAGGACAGTGCAACAGTGCAGTGATATTTGGCAGTTAGCTCCAACTATTGCAGGGGAATGGGGGTAAACAGGAGTCTGTCATGAGCATCTGACTTCTCTATGGAAGTCAGATGAAATGTCCAGTCGGTGCTGCTTCAGAATCTGTACCTTAAAGAATTTTGAATAAGCAGCAATTTTTTAAAGGTGTTTAAGAGGCATAAACCAGGGCTGGAGCGATAGCACAGCAGGTAGGGCGTTTGCCTTGCACACAGCCAACATGGCTGACACAGGTTTGATTCCCAGCATCCCATATGGTCCCCCGAGCACCACCAGGAGCAATTCCTGAGTGCATGAACTAGGAGTAACCCCTGAGCATCGCCAGGTGTGACCCAAAAAGCAAAAAAAAAAAAAAAAAAAAAAAAAAGAGGCATAAACCAAACACTTTGGGCTGAAGTGATAGCACAGCAGTAGGGTGTTTGCCCTGTGCACAGCCAGCCCTGCTGAGCCGGGTTCGATTCCTCCGCCTCTCTCGGGGAACCTGGCAAGCTACTGAGAGTATCTTGCCCGCACGGCAAAGCCTGGCAAGCTACCCGTAATGTATTCAATATGCCAAACACAGTAACAACAAATCTCACGATGGAGACGTTACTGGGCCCTCTCGAACAAAATCGATGAATAACGGGAGGACTGTGACTGTGACCAAACTAAACACTTTAGTTTGGGTAAGAAATAGAAAGACCTAAAACTATCCTTAATGTAGTTCTTTGATTAGTTCTTTGATTGGTGGGTTCAAATCCAGTATTTGAGAGTATTTACCCCCCTTGTCATGTGACTCAGACATGCAGAGAAGGGTATGGGTGTCCCTGTAGAGAAGCTAGGAAAGTGGGGCATTGTGCCATTTTAATTGTGCTATTTCTTCTAATCCACAACTACAGTGTATCTTTCTACCACTTTGTGTTTTCTTCGATTTCCTTCAACAATGACTTATAGTTTTCCATGTACAATTATTTTTCCACTCTTAGGGCAAATTTATTCTAAAGGTTTTAATTTCAATTCAATTGTAACTAAAATTGTGCTAATGATTTCTCTTTCTGCTAGCTCATTGATTGCATATATAAAAGTAACATATTTTTGTATATTATTTTTCTTTGTCTTTTGTTTTGGGAAAACACTGGCATTGCTCAAGTATTACACCTGATTCTGTGCTCAGGACTTATTCCTGCCAGTGCTCAGGGACCCATATGGAATGCCAGAAATCAAATTCAGGGTTGATTACATGCAAGGCAAACTTATATACACTGCTCTATCACTCTGGCCCATATATATATATATATATATATATATATATATATATATTGCTTTTTGGGTCATACCCAATGATGCACAGGGGCTACTCCTGGCTCATGCACTCAAGAATTACTCTGGGCAGCGCTCAGGGGACCATATGGGATGCTGGGAATCGAACCCGGGTCAGTTGCAATGCAAGGGCCTACCCACTGTACTATCACTCTAGCCCCATATATATTAATTTTTAAGTCAGCTACATTACCCTATTAGTTATTTATGATAGCATTTTAGAAATTGAGTCTTTTTTATTTTATAAGTTTATCACATACTCAATAAATAATGGTAGTTTAACCTTATGTTTTATTTTGGCCACACCCAACTACAGTCAGGGCTTACTTCTGGCTCTGTGCTCAGGAATAACTCCTGGTGTGGTTCAAAGGATAATATGCTGGACTAGAGATCAAACCTAAGTAAGCCAGTGGCATGCAAGGCAAGTGCTGAACTTACTACATCATCTCTCTGACCTTAGTTTTTCCCTTTCAAATTAGATTTATTTCACATCCCCCTTTTTGGGGGAGTCTAATTTCTCTTGTTAGGACTTCTGATGCTATATTGAACAGTAATGGAGACAGAACATTGTTACGGTACTCCTGATATTGAAGGAAAAATTCTGAGTGCCATCTCTTTTAACTCCAAAGTTAATTTCTTATAAAATAGTTTGAACAAAGATTATATATATATACATATATATATATATTTGGGTTCAAAACCAGAAGTTCACTCAGTGCTTCTTCCTGGGTCTGCTCAGAGATCACTGCTATCATGACTCAGGGGGATATGGTGTCAGGGATAGACCCAGCGCCAGCCATGTACAAGTACATTGTATTACCGACTGTATATCCCTCTGACCCCTGTTTCACTGTATTTTTTTTGTTAAGCTGGGAGGGTGAAACAATCAGATAACAAGTGAGAAAGATTTTCTCTGAGAGTCACTATTACAGATCATGGTGCTGAGGATGAACTTTTATTGTAGGCTTATATTGTATCTTTAATTTTAACGTTAGTGTTTTTTAACATCTTTCGTCCTCTGAATTGTGAAAAAAATTGTTTTCTCTTTGTAAGAATGCTTTTCACTTTAAGATAATTCTCTGTAAGTATAAAGGAAGACAATCTTAGTCTACGGAAAAAAATCAAATAGATCAGGGTATTTACATTGCTTAGTGAGTGTACTTTCCACCGATGGTACTTGTTTCAGTAAGTAATTGAGGAGAATGAGTAATTTTATTTTAAAGGAGAGAAGATACTGTATTTCACCTATAGTTTTTATAAAATGCATTATTTATTCAAAATATTCTGCTTGTTTGAGATAATAAGATGTCGCGCGGCCACGCGCTTCCAGAGCTGGGTTTTATAGTCTCTGAGTCTTGGCCGTTGATGGGATTACACAGCGCCAGGGGGCCAATTGGTGGGTGTGACCCCTGCCTACTGGAGTTTGGAGGATCTGGGTGGAGGATGCTCAGCCCTGATCCGAGCAGACTTGAAGATCTCAGCCCCGGGACCCTCATGCCTTTACCCGAATGTAACCTGCCCACATGGCAGAGTCTGGCAAACTCCCCGTGGCGTACCCCATATGCCAAATACCGGTAACAATGATGGGTCTCATTTTCCTAGCTCTGAAAGAGTCTTGAATATGGCACTTTTTAAAAAATCTCAGGGCTTGGATGAAGGAGACATTACTGGGGCCTGCTCGAGGCAATCAAAGAACAACAGGAAGGTCGTGATCGTGATTCTGCTTGTTTATGAAAATGTTTTGTTTCTTTGTTTAGGTTAGAAACAAACAAAATCAATAGGAAAGAATTGAACTCAAGGTTATATATCATGAAGATAATAGAAAAAGTAAAATAAGCCCTGAGGCCTCTCTTTAAGTTTTATTTATTTTACTTTCTACCTTATTTTTCAAACTTGCTTTCAGTTTCTCAAGGTCTCCTAGAGCATCAAAGTTTCCCAAATCTTATTCCCATTTTATGTATTTTTCAAACTGCTATCTTATATTTCTGTAGATCTAGCTGAAATTATTTTTTGTATTTCAAATTTCCTATTCCTAAAAGGGTCACTTGGGGTCAGTGATCAATCCTTGGTTCCGTCACTGGCCTCTGTGTGAAACAGGTTTATGTTAGCAGAATGACAGCTTCAGAAAAAAAACACCTTTACAAGCAGAAGGGAAATACAAGAATAGGCATGACAGATATCTACTAATTTTTTTGAAATTTATCACATGCTTCTTCATAATTATTTCCATTTGATGTTCAACTGGGTTCATACCATTGGGCACTCTAACACATTCAAACTTTTGGTCTTTTTTCTTTGTAGTTCCCACACTGAGTTCTGAGATTTGTTATTTTTAATGCTTGACATTGATGGAAGTGGAGGATGGTTCCGTAAATTTTGCTTGAAGAATTTTTTATTTTTTGAGTTAGTAGATGAGACTACCAGAATGCTCTCAAATTTGTTACAAGATGGAAATTCTCCAACTAAGGAGTATGAAATTTTCTTCCATGTAGAAAGATATTCCCTCAATTGGAAAAATAACTTATTTTAATCACCAGTGTTCTTCTATATTGAGTAACAACTATTTTTCATTCTATTATGTCAGTAACTGAAAAGATTTGGTTCTGATGTTTAAAAATAATAGAATTGGAATAAAGGTTCAGTGCAATTGGAAGAGTTTTGTTTGCCACAGTGGTGACTTTCTTGGATAAACGATCACTGTATCACTGTCGTCCCGTTGTTCATAGATTTGCTCAAGCGGGTGCCAATAATGTCTCTATTTTTCCCTGTCATGTGCTAGTGTAGCCCAATGGCGTTTTGGGGTCTCTTTTAGGGTCAGGAGAATGAGGACTGTCATTGTTACTATTTTTGGCATATCGAGTATGCTACCTGTAGCTTGCCAGGCTCTGCCCTGCTGGTTAAACAATAACTTTCAATTAACCTTAAAATGTACTTTAAAAAAATAATAGTGCTTAAAGAGAGAAAGATTACTTAGTCAATGCTTATAGTGATAGATCACTGTCACTGTCACTATCCTCTCATTGTTTATCGATTTGCTCCAGGGGGCCCAGTAACGTCTCCATTGTGACAACTGTTTCTATGTTTGGCATATCGAATAGTGATAGCTAATTTTCATATTTTCTGTTTTAGGTGCTTTATTCACCATCATGATATTCAACATGGCAGTCAATCCTGGAGATCTGAGCACTTCTTTCATCATTTTTGTGATAGTTTTTGTAATCGTAAAAGCCCTGGGGAGCAAGGGTAGAAAGCCGGGGTTTCCTCCAGGACCACGCTCCTTCCCCATCATAGGAAACCTTCTCCAGCTCGGAGACCATCCTTACCTTACATTTATGGAAATGAGGAAGAAGTACGGGGATGTCTTTCTTATCAAACTGGGCATGGTGCCTGTCGTGGTGGTGAATGGAATGGAAATGGTGAAGCAAGTACTACTCAAGGATGGAGAAAAATTTGCAGGCAGACCGAATATGCATACGTTTTCTTTCCTCGCAGAAGGCAAGAGCCTTTCATTTTCAGTCAACTATGGAGAGAGTTGGAAACTTCAGAAGAAAATTGCCTCTAGTGCTTTAAGAACTTTTTCTAAAGCAGAAGCAAAATCCTCCTCCAGCTCTTGCTTACTTGAAGAGCATGTCCTGGAGGAAGTTTCTGAACTCATAAACATTTTTGAAAAGTTGACTTCCGAAAACGGCAGCTTTGATCCCAGAAATGCTGTCACATGTGCCATAGCCAATATTGTCTGTGCCCTTTGCTTTGGCAAAAGGTATGATCACAGTGATGAGGAGTTTCTTAGAATAGTTAAAACAAATGATGACATTCTCAAGGCATCCAGTGCAGCTAATCCTGCTGATTTCATACCATGTTTCTGCTACCTTCCACTGCCAATTGTAAATGGTCCCCGGAAGTTTTATCGGGCCTTGAATCAATTTATTGCGTTGCATGTACGAGATCATTGCACTACATATGATAAGGTAAATATTAAAATTTTACACTACGATAAAATATTTGTGAAACACAGAAGATGATGGTAAAATAGATTTACCACTCAGAAGTTTGTACATGTTCTTCCTTGTTTATTTTACCGATTTTATCATAATAAATCTTATTCAAGCCATGAGTAAATGTAAAGTATTGTCAGTGAGATTATAAAGCAGTATCATTACTTCTCATTTCGGAATTTCCACCGCTCTAAAATAATGAGTTCTTGGAATTCCTCTAATATGTGTTTAAAGCACATAGTATTATTATGAAACTATCCATGATAGCTTTTATCTTACATAGTTTTACTTTCTTAGAGAACCAAACCAAATGACATCTGAGAACAAAACATCTCATACTTAAAATTATCAATATCTTTTTTAAATAGAGTTTTGAATAACTGTAAGGAATATTCTATTGAAAGCTTGTAATTACACTCATTATCCACATGATTTCCTGTGCTATTTAGAAATGAATTTTTAGATTGAAACACATATAAAAGTGTTGTAATTCTCCAGATGGCAAACAAGGATTTCTCTTTTGTGTGTTGATTTTATTTTATTTCCCTTTTAAATTATTTTTTATTGATAATCATACCAGTAACAATGATGGGTCTCATTCTCCTAAAGAGCCTTGAATATAATCTCAGGGCTAGGATGAAGGAGACGTTACTGGGGCCTGCTCGAGGCAATCGACGATTAACAGGATGATTTGTGATTTTGTGATTGTGAATCATGAATTAAAATTTTACAAAGATATTTATCATCAAGTTCCAGATGGATATTGTTCCAACACCAAACACTTCACTAGTGATAAATCGACTTTTCTTATGAAACTATTGAAATGTTTTGTTCACAATTAGAAGATAAACATAGTAGTAAGTTTTGCTTCTTGAAACAAGAAACTAGAATCAATTCTAGTTCTTTGGGTCAATTTAATGCAGTCACAGCATTAGGAGAAAAGACCGTGAAAAACTTGATGATTGAGCAAATGAAGAGTAAGGAACAGATTCTTCTCCAGTGAAAAGGAAAGGGCAGAGAATATGTTTCAAATAATCAAGCAGAAACTGTAAATCAATTAGAGCAAGTAAAACAATTTGTAAAGTTTATGAACTTTTCCTCCTAATCCCTCACCTACCCCAATCCCATTTCAGTCCTCAAAGTGATCAGAGTAAAATGCAGTATGTTTGGAAACCTCTTATTATATTGATTATGTAGCAGTTTATCCATAACAATCGATCCGCACTGTAGCACTGTCCTCCCGTTGTTCATCGATTTGCTTCAGGGGGCACCAGTAACGTTTCACAACAAATTGTGAGACTTGTTGTTACTGTTTTTGGCATATCGAATATGCCACGGAAAGCTTGCCAGGCTTTGACTTGCGGGCGGGATACTCTTGGTAGCTTGCAGGACTCTCCAGGAGGGACGAAGGAATCAAACCCAGGTCAGCCGCGTGCAAGGCAAACGACTTACTCGTTGTGCTATCACTATAGTCCAGTCTATCTAATTATTTCGAATATGCTTGGGTTGGGGGGGGGGTTGACTGGAGTGATAGCATAGCAGGTAGGGTGTTTGCCTTGCATGCGGCCAACCAGGGTTCGAGTCCCAGCATCCCATATGGTCCCCTGAGCACCACCAGAAGTAATTCCTGAGTGCAGGAGCCAGGAGTAACCCCTGTGCATCACCAGGTGTGATAAAAAATAATAATAATAATAAATGAAATATGCTTGTGGAGATAGTTATTCTTTTTGTTGATAGAGAGCATCTTTTTTTTCCTTTTTTTTTTTTTTCACTTTTAGTGTCATACCCAGCTATGCTCAGGGATTACTCCTGGCTGTGCACTCAAGAATTACTCATGGTGGTGCTTGGGGGAGCATATGGGATTTTGGGAATTGAACCCAGGTCGGCCGTGTGCAAGGCAAATGCCCTACCCACTGTACTATCACTCCAGCCCCAGAAAGCATCTTTAAAGAAATAGCTGAGCTCAATAATTTGATTTCCTAGCCTACACTCTTAAGATTAAATATTACCATTGATGAGCAAAACTAGCTATAAAATAAAAGTATAAAATAGCATGCTTAAATTCCTATGTAAATTAAGGTATGAAATAATATACTTCTTATATATATGCTTCATATTTATGTTAGTTTGCTTCATTTCAAGTTGCCAGAAAATACTACTCTTGCATGAAAATTATGTGCAATATAAAATGCAGATGAGAATGAATAATTATGCTACGGGTTTTCTCCTTAGGACCACATCCGAGACATTACTGATGCTCTTATTAGTACATGCCAAAACAAATATTCTTCCAAAAAAGCTACTTTAAATGATGATGAAGTCATAAGCACTGTGAATGACATCTTTGGAGCTGGTATGTGAGTGTATTCATCAATTTGTAAAGCAAGTAAAAATTAATTGAAATTTTTTTCTTAATCACTGATTATAATTTAGTTTCTCCCCTTTTAAAACTTTTCTTCTTTTAATTAATTTATTTATTTATTTTGCTTTTTGGGGATCACACTCGGCTATGCATAGGGGATACTCCTGGCTCTGCACTCAGGAATTACTCCTGACGGTGCTCAGGGGACCATATGGGATGCTGGGAATCGGACCCGGGTTGGCCACATTCAAGGCAAATGCCCTACCCACTTCCTATCACTCCATCCCCAAGAACTTTTCTTCTTTCAGTGTTGTTTCCTTCATGATTTTGATCTGATTGTTAAAGTATGTGATATTATGCCTTCCTTGCATATCATTCAGAAAACTTGATTTCCTTTTAACATTCTAAGCTGTGTTCAGGGGACCTAGGGTGTCATTCCTGAGTATACTTGCCAAAAAAGGTAGGGCAGTTCAATCCAGCTAGATGTGATCTGCCTTAGTCCTACAGTTCTGGAGATGACCAAACCAGGGCCACTGAGAAGTTCGGGAGTGGGGGCACCCCCAGATTACTCCATCAGTGCTTGGGGTGGGTACTTCAGGCCTTCCCTGGCTCCTAGGGGGCTCAGGTGGGCAAGGGTTTGAGCTGAGTTCTGGTATGTGCATTCATGTGCACTTGACCCATGAGTGGCCCTCTACCAAATATTTTCCTCTCACAAGTAGATTCTTGAGTTAATTACATTCCCAAATTCATGTGTATTAAAATTATTATTCACATATTCCTGGCCTCGCTCAGAAACACTTTTAATTCCCACATCAAACTCCTGGTTCCTTGTTCCAGTTATTGATATTTATTCTTCATTTGTGTAAATATTTCCCTTTTTGTTTTGATGTATGTTTGTAAAATTGTACTTACATTGTAATGCATTGCCATATTTCTTATCATGAATTTTGATTTATACAAATGCCATTGATATTTATAACTTAATCTAGTTTTAACTGTTTTTTCATGAAGTCCTATATTTTTTTCAATCTGACCATGATTTTCAGGAATAGCTATTATTTGCTACTTCTGGTAAGTATACAAACCCCAAGACATGTACCCGGGTATTTTATCTTCTACTGTTTCTAGGACAGACACCTGAGTTGTTCACAGCTCTAACCTGCGAAGATAGTGTTCAAAAGGAATATTTTGCTAAAATACAATGACCAACTTTATACTTCAATTTGTCTTTCTTTGAATTATGATCCTGTTCTAAAAAGAAGACTCTCTGTTTCACCTAAAAAAGACGAATTTCAAGTTTCTCAAATGTTACCAAAAACCTTTGCAAAATAATTTATTATCAACTTATACATCTACCATACTACTAGTATATTTAAAATTCATTATCGGTTTTTAAACACTTTTACTTTACTGATTTCTTACAGTTCCTGTAATATATTTGATGCACAAAGCGAATTCCCATTGGTAGAACACCACCAACTAAATATTAATGTTGTTCTTTATTTTTCAATTCTTTTTACTTATTTCTTCCTTTAATTCTTTTTTATTTCTTTGTATATATCTTTTTGAGACAAGGGTAGGTCATCCCAAAGCCCCTGTGCTCAATGGCTTGGGCCACTCCTGGTGATACTCAGGAAACAGGGCCTGATGGTTCCCAGTTTGGATCGAATGGTGGCGCTGTGGTGCCGGGAGCTTCCACGGCATCTCCCAGCCAACATAACAGATAACCAACAGTATTAGTCCATCATCCACGGCTAGCAGAGTCCACCAGATGGTGCTTAGAGGAATCTCCGGGACTACTCTGTGGGTAGTGATGCCAGGGAGCAATCTCTGGGCCCACATTTCTGACATTTGTGCTATCTTTTGAGTCCCTCTGTATTTTTTTTCTTCATTTTAAAAAGCATTTATTGACATTTGGGTTAATTCCCCCCCCCCGCCCCCAGGATCCTGCATAGATGCCCCTAAGTTTTCTTTGTAGGGCCATTTGCTCTCTATTAGAAATAGAAATAATCCATGATACTTTCTTTTCTTCTTATAAATATACCCCTTTAGCTCCCCTCTCCCACATCTATGTATTCATTATTTTAATAATTTTGTGAATTTCACAGATGCACTTGATACTTGTCATATAAATAATTTACCTAGCATTTATTTTGCCTAATTAATGTTAGAATTTGTTTGAGCACTGGAACCAAAGCATGAGATACTTTAGTATACCCATATATATAATATGGGTATTCATGTATGTATACATGAATATATATGTATATTCATATATATATATATATTCAGCAGATTTTCCAAATGAAATTCTAAGTCAGAAGAGAATGACATTCTATTTGCAAGCTACTAAGTTGAAAGACTTCCAGTAAAGGATGCTTCATTCAGCTAAGTTATCACCCACATTCAAAGGAGCAATAATGTGCTTTTCAGATAATAGAAGTTAAGAAAAGTCGTTCCCACTAACTAAATCTGTTATCTAAGAAATACCAATTTTTTCTTCAAAAGGAAGTTTAAAAAACTGCACTGAAAGTAGTAAGATATGTTTAAAAACATGCACGCATTAAAAAAAAGTTATTTTTGTTCTCTTTGTCTACAGTATGAAAGGAATTAGAAGTTGCTATACTAATTGAAGTAAATCAAAAAGAGGATAAACATTAATGATCTCACACATTTGGGGTGGACTTGGTGTATCATTGAACCCTTAAACTATATAAGGATTCACATTCTAGTAAAAAATATGACTAAAAGATAAAACTTAAAAATTATTTGAATAAAAGAATTACAAAATATATAAATCCTTTTCTCACCTAACCAACCTATATAACAGAATTTGTAATTGATTTAAAATAAGAATAATAAATTAGTAAAATATAAACTTCCACATGTGCCTACAATCTCATTAGGAATGCATAATATAATAGTTTATTACATGAAAATGGTGAACTCTAAACCACAGATTTTAGTGGATTAGAGGATCATTTGTTAATATTTGTAGTTCCATGTTTAACTTCTCAAATTGGTCCATAAGAAGACAAATGATTTTTCCTTTGATTATAGTCAGGCTCTCATAAATTATTATAAGGTCAATTTTTAGGTAATCTACTAAAATATATGTAGGTTAAATCTTTAATACAAAACAAATTTACAATGATTAAAAATATGAATCCCGTTATTTATTCAGATAGTCCTAGCTTTTGAGATAATGTTCAGGGCTTTACAACATGCGCAACATGGGTTTTCATGTATTATTTATACCTTTTATGTGTCCTTGGGGGGCTAGACATAGATTAAAACATCCCAAATACCCCATTTTTGTAGTCCGTACTCTAGACAATATGGTTAACAGCTTCATTTGTATAACTTACATTTTAGGGTAATTTCTTTTAGTATAAAATTTTGCTATAAATCTTATGTATTGAAAATGATAAAAGACACTGAATCTGTTAGAAATGTTCATGCTTTTTTCCATGGTGATTCAACGAAATTACATTCCCACTAAGAATGCATAGGACTTTCAGTTTCTCACCAACTTTGCCAACATTTGTTGATATCTGTAATCTTCTAAGTGGCTAGCCTTACAAATAAGAGGTAATGCCTATATTTTCAAATAAATTTTAATGTGTTGCTATTTTAGTGTGATTTTATTCATGTGTGGTCATATTTAGGACCCATTCGTAATTCTTAGTATTCAAATATGAAATAAAATAAGCTATTTTTCTAAATTTTTACATGATATTTTATCTCATTTATTTTTTTAGGATTTGAGACAGTATCAACATGTCTATATTGGAGTTTCCTTTATTTGATACAGTATCCAGAAATCCAAGTCAAAATTCAAGAAGAAATTGGTAACATGCTTTCAGCAGAAAATATAATTCTTACAATTATTCTTATAATTATTTTTCGAATTGTAGCAGTGTCTGTAGCACTGTCCTCCCTTTGTTCATGATTTGCTGGAATGGGCCCAGTAATGTCTCCATTGGGGGAGACTTGCTGTTACTGTTTTTTGGCATATTGGATATGTCATGGGGAGCTTGCCAGGCTTTGCGGTGCAGGCGAGATACTCTTGGTAGCTTGCCAGGCTCTCCGAGAGGGGTGGAGGAATTGAACCCGGGTCACCCCAGTCAGCCGCATGCAAGGCAAATATCCTACCCTCTGTGCTATCGCTCCAGCCCATTTTTTAAATTAAATTTAAAAAAGTTTATTTCAGGTGCAAAAATTGGACTGAGGTTGCCCAGATTTGAAGACAGGAAATTTTTACCCTATACAGAAGCCTTCATTACTGAAGTATTCAGACATGCTTCCTTTATTCCTTTAACTATTCCTCATTGGTAAGTTATGACACTTCTTTGAAACAGCAACCAGCTGGCGGTTGGAAAAGAGGAATCTTAGACATTAGAATACATTAGGTGCTTTAAGGTTTCTATACATTGATATTATAGAATAACATTTAAAGTAATATTTTATTTTAAAATCCTCTGATGAAATGCTTTCAGAAAAAAAACGACATATTGTGTAAATATTTTTTAGAACTAAGCAGTATCATTAACTTTCATTTTTATGTACTAATGAAGGAAAGAGAAGAATAGAAAAATTCCAAACAATAGATAATCCACCTGATATTTAATTACCGAATGTCATTCAAACTCACTTAACTTCTTCCTATCAGCAACCATATTTGCTCATGTGATTTTATTTTTAGTAACTTAAGGTTTACTTATCACTTGGTTAGAGATATCAGTGTTGCAACAAATATATTAAACGCAATGTTTATTTATAGATATTTCCAAATTTACTGAACCTCATGCCAGATAGCAGATCACCCATGATTGTCAGTATAGATTAAGTAGATAAGCTTTTAAAAATATGTACATGGAGAACAAGCGTTCTGATAGTTTAAAATGCTCTTATTTCATGTAATTAAGATAAAAATTAAATTCTCTGAGCTTTTTTTTCAATCTTTAAAGTAAAAACAAACAAAAAAGGAACTGTCTCTCACACAGGAAGTTGTCATACTCATTTGAAAATTGATACAGCAATATGTAGGGTGTGGAGTAGCATGTAGCTGAGCTCTTAAAAGTCTAAATAATTAACTGAGGAAAGTCAAGATGAGACAATGCCTTTCCGGTTTGTTCTATCTGTATTCACATATGATGCATCTATTTATGATGTCTTCTGCCCTTTTGATCATCTTTCTCTTGAATCACTTCTATTTTTAATTTTTTTTTGGTTTTAATCATGATCATATATTTTTTTTAAAATAATCCTTCCATACCTATGAGTTTTATAAGGTGATTTAAAGTGCTTCATAAAGGCATATGATCTATATCTTTACTAAATAATCAGTAGCAGGAAAGCCATGCCACATTTACCAATATTATTAAGATGGCATGAGATTAATCAATTGTGTAGGGTTCTAAAAGCAAATATCAAAGGCCGGATAGAGAGCAGAGGAAGTAGACAATTGTACTACGTGTAGCTGTGGTTCAGATCCCAGGACCCCAGCCCCCCAGCCCCTGAGAACTGCCAAGAGTCAATTCTGAGCTCAGAACCAGGAATAACTCCTCAGAACTGTTGGATAAAGCCCAAACACTTCAAACATTTCCCCCCTCCCTCAAAAAAAATAACAAACAAATCAAGAACAAATTTGAAACAGCATTGACGGGGGGAAATATGTCTTGGGACATAAGGGTTTGTTTTATTATTGAAAATGAAAAAATAATGTATTCAAAAGAAAAATAAAAAAACGTTTTGGCCAATTATAGTAGAGGGAGTCAAAAAAATGTTCCCAACATAAAAGGTAGCTAGATGTGTTGTTTAAGACTATTCTATTCTGGGGGCTAGAGTGATAGCACAATGGGTAGGGCGTTTGCCTTGCACATGACTGACCCGGGTTTGGTTCCCAGCATCCCGTATGGTTCCCTGAGCACAGCCAGGAGTCATTCCTGAGTGCATGAGCCAGGAATAACCCCTGTGCATCGCCGGGTGTGACCCAAAAAGCAAAAAAAAAGAAAGAAAGAAAGAAAGAAAGAAAGAAAGAAAGAAAGAAAGAAAGAAAGACTATTCTATTTTTTCCCACCTGAAGTTGATTGCTTTCCACTCAAAACAACAGAAAATCAAAAAGAAATCAGGTTAGAATGAATTAGCAAAGTAAAATGGTTATTAGATAATTTTATGAAAAGTCAGCAAAAGTTTTGCTCTTACATATTACGCACTCATGAGAGAACAAACTGTACTCTGATAAATATGTGTTGCATATTTTCTCCTTAGAAGATATAGTGCAGAGTTAAGATACTTGTCCTGCATGTGGTCAACCTAGGTTCTATCCCCAGCACTGCATATAGTCCCAGGAGTTATCCCAGGTCACAGTCAGGAGCAAGCCTTGGTACCACCAGGTGTCGCCCCCAAACTAAACAATAGAAAATGCAAGTTTTTAAAGAATTATCCAAGTCAAAGTTACTCCTAGTTGGATTTTAGACACACTGTGTTCTAGCACAAATACCACCACCAGAGTTCCCAGGTTCCCTCCTAAACAATTCCCTCCAACCTGACACCTAGACAAGCACAATTTTAAGTTTTTTTGTTAAAATTTGGATCTTATGTTTTCACCATTGTTGACTCTATGGCTTGGATATTTAGCTGTGCCACTCCTTTATACCACTGAAGTTCCAGTACCCTCTTTTTTTTTTCTTTTTGCTTCAAACTCGCTGATGCACAGAGGTTACTCCTGGCTCTGCACTCAGGAATTACTCCTGGCAGTGCTCGGGGGACCATATGGGATGTTGGGAATCGACCCAGGTCAGCCGCGTGCAAGGCAAATGACCTTCCGCTGTGCTATCGCTCCAGCCCCACCAGTACCCTCTTGACCCCTGTCCCTACCCCGTTACTTCCTGTCTGTCTCTTTTTCCCCATTCGGTTTCTCTTCTTCTCCTTCCTTGTCCTTCCTATACTCTGGGTTCAAGGGTGATCTAGGCATCCATGTTTAAAACATTGCATTTCCTCATCTAGTTGTTCCAAATGCCATATATAAGTGAGATCATCCTATATTTATCCTTCTTCTGACTTACTTCAGTTAACAAGACTGTCGACTTTCTTCCAGTTCCAACCACATTGCAAGAAATTGCATGATTTCATCATTCCTTAAAGCTGTGTAATATTTAATGCGCATCTTCACAATCCACTTACAAAGTGTCCAATGATTTAAAAAATAACAATTTTTATATAAATACTTCCATATATCAATTTTCAGGAATGGATGTAGAGAATTGTAATTATTATATTTATCTGTTGAATCCTTTATTAATATTGTCACTTTTAGATTTTGATATCAGTAAAGCCAAATTTTGTGTCAGTGTTCTATAAGATAGGGGCATTCAATTTTTTTTATTTAGAAAAGGATTTTAGCAAGTGAATCCGTGAGAGAGTATATGAACACGAGTATATGGACGACAGTGGCTGACCATAGAAAGATGTCAGCCTTCCCCACAAATAGGTTCTTTCCTACATGTCCTTCCTCTTTGTTGAGTTTGTGAGGCACTCAATAAACAATGTTTGTGTTTTTTTTTCCAAAATTTACTCTCAGTTGCAAGACAAAGTGCAGGAGAGATTGGAAGATGGTTCGGTGGCTCACAGGTGCCTTCAGCAATGCAAGATATGAGGCTAAAGAAGAGAATGTTTGTCCTAGTAGCAATTTAAAAAATGTATTTTCTTTTCACAACCCTTAAGATGCAATTTAGAGAGCCCAAATAACTTTAGTCAACAAACATATCAACTAAATGCCACACAGTAGATAAGAGATTTGCCTACATTCCATTGTTAGCAGTGCCCAGATTTCAGATTTTGTTTTCAATGATGTTGTTCCTTTTACCCAGGACTGAAAGATATTATGTTTTCCTTTTCTTATGAGTTAATAAAGTTTAAAAACATATTGAGTACAAAGAAACTATCTTATAATTTCCTTAATCACAAATCACAAATCACAAATCATCCTGTTATTCGTTGATTGCCTAGAGCAGGCCCCAGTAATGTCTCCTTCATCCTAGCCCTGAGATTATATTCAAGGCTCTTTAGGAGAATGAGACCCATCATTGTTACTGGTATTTGGCATATTTGGTACACCACGGGGAGTTTGCCAGACTCTGCCGTGTGGGCAGGCTACATTCAGTTTGTCCAAAGTAGGAATGAGATAATAAGATGTCATAATAAGATGTCGCGCGGCCGCATTTGCCGTTCTGGGTTCCGGGAGCTGGTTTTTATAGTCTCTGAGTCTTGGCCGTTGATGGGATTACACGGTGCCAGGGGGCCAGGTGGTGGGTGTGAACCCCGCCTACTGGAATTTGGAGGATCTGGGTGGAGGATGCTCGGCCCCAATTCGAGTAGGCTTGGAGATCTCGGCCCCGGAACCCGCGTGGCTTTGTCCCTCTCCCAGTACCTTCATGTGTGTGGGGAGTGGTCTCAGCATGGTGATGGCTGGTCCTGGAGGTCTTGGGCTGCCGGAACCCTGGTTGGGGCAGGGAGGAAAGCTCAACCCTCTCCTCTCCAAGGAGCCCTGGCAAGGACAGCCAGGCGCTGGGGCAGGAGACTGCACTGTTCTCTTCCTTAATAGTGTCTTGATATTTTTTCAGGCTCATTCTGTCATAGAAATAATGTGACAGTTTTCTGATGAGATTTAAATTCAATAATGTCTTGAGTATATTAAATGCTAAGTATTCAACCTTTATTTAACAATTAATTAATGTAACAAAATAGTAAATTACTAGTTTAGTAGTAGATGAAAGCTGTTTTAATTGGTAACAAAATGAAGATTTATAAAGATGCTATGTATGCCTAACTGTAGTTTTAAAAGATGTTTAAAAAATGTTTGGGATTTGTGGGAAACAGTTTTGGGATAAATTTTTGAGGACACACTTTAATGTTGTAATTTGCTTCCTAGTACTACAGTAGACACTACTCTGAGTGGATATTTCATTCCCAAGAAAACTTGCATCTTTATCAATATGTATCAAGTAAATCATGATGAGTAAGTTGCCAAAATTATTCCTTGGATAAATATTTCTTAGTAGCTTATTTATTATTTATTAATCTGAGAATGACTACATTCTTCTTACTTTGTTTTGGGCCACACAGGACAATATTCAGGGTTTACTCCTGACTGTACTAAGGCATCAGTTCTAGTAGACTTTGGGGGTAGGGCACATGGGATGCCAGGGATAAAATCAGGGTTGACTGAATGCAAGGCAAGTCCCCTGCCACTGCTCATATCTCCAGTCCCCAAGTCTGTATTCTTCTTAACCAAACTTAATTCTGTTTTTCTTGAAAGAAGTTGAAATATATTCAATCATATCTTTTCACTTATAAGTGGAAGAATAGCACTGTAGCACTGTCCTCCCGTTGTTCATGGATTTGTCCGAGTGGGCCCAGTAACGTCTCCACTGTGAGACTTGTTGTTACTGTATTTGGCATATCGAATACATCACAGGTAGCTTACCAGGCTTTGCCGTGCGGGAGAGATACTCTCAGTAGCTTGCTGGGCTCTCCGAGAGAGGTGGAGGATCGAACCCGGCTCGGTCGGCCTGCTGCACGCAAGGCAAATGCCCTGCTGCTGTGCTATCACTCCTGGCTGGCTAGGTGGGACCACTGACCCAAAAAGCAAAGAGAGAGAGAGAGAGAGAGAGAGAGAGAGAGAGAGAGAGAGAGAGAAGAGAGATAGAGACGTTGGGACCAGAGTGATAGCACTATGAGGAGGGCTCTCGCTTTGCATGCAGATGGCCCAGGGTTTGACCCCCAGCAGCCTTATAGGGTCCCCCATGCACAGCCAGGACTGATCCCTGAATGCAGAGCCAGGAGCAAGCAATCCCTGAACATCTCATGGTGTGGCCCCAAATTCAAAATAAATGACATTTCCCCTTCCCCCATGCTCCAAACCAAACTCCCCTCTCCCAGGAGGACCGGAGCCGTGGAAGAATATCCTGATATAAATTTTTTCATTGTTAACCTAGTTTCAGAAGTGGAATCATCAGTGTACATGTAAAGCTGATAATTTCAAAGGTTCACTCTCTGATGATCTAGTCAATGATATTATGAAATGAAACCTGAAAATCTCCTATGAAATAGAAGCTATTGTTATTTATTTTTTTCTTTTTATTTTCTTCTACCCAATAGCTAGATCAGTTCCTGGGACTACTGTATTAAAGAAGATCACCCTTTTAGAATTGGACAGGCTAACATGAAGTTGTCTCATTCAGTGTAAAGTAAGAAAGATAATTGATGAGGGAATGATGGCAACTATAGCTCATAGTTATTGACCTCTAATACGTTGAATACAAAATCTTGAAATATCTGATTCTCCCTTAATCTCAGAAATAACCTTAAGAAGTGGTGCTATGGCTGTCATGATTCCAATCACAGATTCTAATTTCATAGTTTTCAACCAGATAAAAGAATTATCTAAGATCACCAGTTCAACGGGTAGCATAAATAGGACTCACTTCTTACAGTGTAAATCACATTCCATGGAAATAAGATATCCCATACAGTCACAGTTTGATGTCTCCAGTAAACTGAGCGAGTCTGCACCCTTATGTATGCAGAGTATGCTGTGCGGGTTTCCCATTTGCACGCAAGATCTCATCAGAACTATTCATGCCTCATTTTAGGGAGCAAAATGTTTATGTTCTATGCCCAACAAGACTTTTGCCATCCTATAGATTGTACAAAATGTTAGTTTATACTGCATGGGCAGTCCCATTGCAAAACTTGTTCTCAGAAAAATTGGTCTCTATACCTGTGGCCCAATTACATAAAACTAAGTACTTTTGTTGCTCAGGGCTTAGTCCTAGTTCTCTCCTAAGGGGTCAGTCCTGGTGGGCTCAGGGGAACATATGGGGTGCTGGAGGTTAAACCCATGTGAGTTTTATCTTTTTGATCACAAAATGAAGCATTATAAAATATTAAGAAAATGAATTCATCAGCATGGATTTATAGCACTTGTTTTTAGTTCATGTAATACCAAGTATATCCCAGTATTCTAAGAATATGTCACTATGGAGCAAGAGAGATAGTACACTGGGCAGGGTGCTTGCCTTGAGGACGGCTAACCAGGGTTCAATCCAGGGCACTCTTTATGGTCTTCAGAGCCCTACTAGGAGTGATCCCTGCACTTCAAGCCTGGAGTAAGACTTAAGAACTGCTGGATATGACCTGCAAACTAAACGAACTTCAGTACCAATTAAGCAGTGGGAATTATCCAAAAATACAGGAATTGCCCCTGTTGAATAATGAAGAGAATAATGGAGCTGTATCTAGTTCAACCTTGTAAACTGTTTACAGTCTAGAAACTGGCACAATGATTTTAGTTCTTTCTCTTATAAAATAGAACTTGTAAATGCAGATATTCATTTGGACTCTTTTGTTTTTTAAACATTAGAAACAATGAACTATTTTTAAAAGACTCAAAGCAAAGCAAAACTTATTGTAGAACTCTGTGATCTCTGGTATAGAGGAAAACTTTTTTTCTAGGAAAAGGATAACAATACCCAAAATAATACAGTTCTTTTCAAGTCAAATGGAGCCCTGATTTATAGCTGCGTATGTCTAAGGAATGCTAGGTTTAGTTATCTTAGACAAAGTATGAGAGTGAAATCACCAAAAGGTGGTAGATGAACTGAAAATCAGATATACAGCATTCTGGAAACTGTGGGCATCCATCCCACAGTGTCCATCCCCAGAGATTCTTTCTGGGATTGGACTCTACTATATGCTGTTACGGGAGAACTGTTTCCTAAAATTTTTGAGGGGTATGACTCAGATACACTTCCTATTCCCACTCATTTTTCTTGAAGAAGAAGAAAAAACATGGTTATTGATTTTGTTTATATGAAAATGTTAGGATGTTCTTATGATGCTTTTGTGGAACTCTATTTTTAAATAATTAAAATCTTAAAATAAATACTAACTTATTAATGAATTAATTAAGTTTCATTTTAATATTAATTATAACTTTGTTAAATCTTTATGGTAACTAAAATGAATATATTAACAGAAAAACTAAAAAAGTGTATAAAGTTTCTATGTATCTTTATTATTATTAATAATATACATCATGTATCATACAGGTAATGTACATATTATATGACACACATTAAATAACATATTCAATGTGTATGTTACATACTTGCTGTGTATAGTACATTTTATATAAATTTACAGAGGTTGTTCCAAAATCTAATACATTACATGCAAAGCAAAATTAGGGTAAAGGTGAATGTTACCATTTTAGCAAAAGTGATGAAATGCTTTCTTCTTAAACTTTTATTCTTGACTATTTTATACAGAACAGTTTGGGACAATCCCGATTTATTTAAACCTGAAAGATTTCTAAACGATGACGAACAACTGAATAAAAACCTCGTTGATAAAGTTTTGATATTTGGAATGGGAATCCGGAAGTGTCTTGGAGAGGATGTTGCTAGAAATGAATTATTTATCTTCATCACCGCAGTTCTGCAAAAGCTCAAACTGAAGAAACGCCCTGGAATTCAACTTGACCTGACACCAATGTATGGTCTATCCATGAAGCCAAAGCCCTACCAGCTCCTTACAGAATCTCGTGCCTAACTAAGCCACTAGGAGTGAATACTAATCTAACCTGACTTGCAACCATAGAAGAAAATGATACCAGTAATAAGTTTGCATAGAATATAAAAACCAAGTGCAGACATAATAAGGGGACCACCTGCAAGTAAAGGAAAGAAGTCTCATAAGAAACCAAACTTGATGATCCGTTTATGTTAAACTTCCAACTTCAGAAACCGAGAGAAAATAAATTCCTATCATTTAAGCCAGACTTAAGCCAGACTGTGGTATTCTACTGTGGTAAACAATCAAACTAATACAGTTATAGAATAACTATTAAAAGCTATTGGTAATACTCTTTGAAAGTTAAATTCTCAATGTGGAAACATTTCAGAAAACGTATTTCCAAAGTATAAAAATGCAATTTGAAGAAATTTCTACTCCTATCCCTTTTTCCTCTTCTCTAAATCTGGCACAACATGAAATAACCTCTTGTTGGGCTATGCGTGCAGTCACACTAGGTTTGGAAGGCCCCTCACCACATATGTTCCTCAACTACAATCAGGGGTCACTCCTGAGCACACAGACTGGAATAGTCCCCTAGTATGCTGGAGGAGGCCCCGTAACACTCTGGTGCTGAAGGTAAATCCAAGCCGTTTCCCTGAAACCTCTTAAATACTTTATTTCCTAGACCACTGTAGCAGGAGCGATAACACAGCGGATAGGGCGTTCGCCTTACACGCGGCCAACATTGCCGACCCAAGTTCGATTCCTCCGCCCCTCTCGGAGAGCCCGGCAAGCTACCAAGAGTATTCCATATGCCAGACACAGTAACAACAAAGTCTCCAATGGAGATGTTACTGGGCCCGCTCGAGCAAATCGACGATCAACGGGAGGGCCTTTACCTTTACCTTTACCTATACCACTGGATACAATTATGTTTGGCCTTATACTAACTCCTATGTTTACACCCAATGTAAGTATTTGCTACTATTTGAAGCTGGCATAAAGGGGTGGCCAGAGACCCTTTGCCTTTCTGACTCAAACCACTGCTGTCATTCCTTCCCTTCCATGCTCATAATGGTGCAGTGGCACTTGGCATATGATCACATGGGCCAACGTTGAATTACATCATGCTTCATTATTCTTGTAAAAGATCTGAATGAGATAAGCTTTAAATGATATGATTCACTTTATAAAGCATGTGATAGAGCAGTGTGATGGGTGGAGAAATGACCTAATATTTAAGTTTGGGATGCCAATCTGCAAAGATCACGGTCCTCCCGTTGTTCATCGATTTGCTCGAACGGGCCCAGTAACGTCTCCGTTGTGAGACTTGTTGTTACTGTGTTTGGCATATTGAATACGTCACGGGTAGCTTGCCAGGCTCTGCCGAAAAGTTTGTTAAATTCACTTGAACCACATTTTTTAAAAAAATTGTGTAAGTGTCTCCAACTATCACCATATTCTGAAGAACTAGAAACTGAGACTTCAGCATGCCAAGTGTAGTAGATATATAATTTAGTATATACTAACATGTTATAGAAAAAAGGAACAATTAATAATATACATTTGCCAAGATAATAGCTAGCACTATATACATTAATAAGCTTAAAGTGGATAAGGAACATGAAATGGCTGGTGAAACTGAAAGCATGAGACCTAAACTATAGCAAGCAAACTTACAAAAATGTGCCTATCTTGTTACTTTATGTTCCCCAGATGAATGCAATCACCCAAGAATGGCCGAGATTAGTACCAGGAATTTTACTCCATGGCTTGGAGGCCAGCCACACATCTAGGGGGAAAGGGAGCTCAGATAGAGAAGGGAGCACCAAATAAAAGGTGTTGGGAGGATCCTCCGAGGATGGGAGAAGCATGCTGAAAGTAGACTATAGACCAAACACGATTGCCACTCAATGCCTCTTTTGTAAACCACAACACCCAATAGGAGAGAGAGAGAGAGAGAGCAAAAGGGAATGCCCTGACACAGAGGCATGGTGGGATGGGGAGGATGGGGGGTGGGAGGGATACTGGGATTTGTGGTGGTGGGAAATGGGCACTGGTGGAGGGATTTGACCATTGTATAATTGAAATCCAAGCACAAAAATTTGTAAGTCTACAACTGTACCTCATGATGTCTCACTAATAAAAATTTTTTTTAAAAAATGTGCCTATCAAGGAGGCCAGTGAGATTGGAAGGGAATCTAGGGACACTGGTGGAAGGAAGTTGACTCTGGAGCTTGGGGGATGGTACTGAAACATTGGATTTCTGAAACTCTGATGAACACCTTAGGAAGTCATGGTGACTTGATGAAAAGTGAAAATAAGAATAAATGGATGGTGAAAAACTATTTCAGATGGAAGATTTAAGGCGAACTGGAGTTCGAAGGACTTTCCTCTCTGGGGTCTAATTCGAATGAAGGACAACATCTAGAGAAAAGTGGCTCTTAAGAGATTAATAAGCATCTCTAGCAGCAACTGGCGATGGTAGCAGAGAAATGAGAAAATTCAGGAGTAATGAGAGTTTGACTCTTCCTTTCCAAAATTTAAATAAATGCAATATTATGTTTACAAATAAACAACTTAGATTGCTTGTTCTTTTTTTTTTGGTATTAGTTTTGGAAATTAATGATATTATTTGCATGACAGTCTAACTGAAACTAGTTTTATATTTTTTTAAAAAATAAGAAACTCTCGGGGCTGGAATGATAGCATACCGGGTAGGGCATTTGCCTTGCACATGGCCGACCCAGGTTCAATTCCCAGCATCCCCCGGGCACCACCAGGGGTAATTCCTGAATGCATGAGCCAGGAGTAACCCTTGTGCATCACCGGGTGTGACCCAAAAAGAAAAAAGAAAAGAAAAGAAAAGAAACTCTCAAATCAAGGCTGAAGAGATAGTAGACTGGGTAGGGTAGTTGCTTTGCATGGGACCAATGCAGATTTGATCCCCTGCATCTCATATGATTTCCTTCACACCACCAGGCGTGATCCTAAGGGCAAAGGCCAGAGTAATCCTTGAGAGTCACTAGGTATAAGGGCCCCTCCAAAGAAAAATAAATAAATAAATAAATAAATAAAACTCTCCACTAATCTATTTACTTAATTAAAGGTTGATGAAAATACTACAGAAATTTTATTATCTTTTCATTGCTACTTTTCAAAAAAGATCTGTCATTTTCCCTTGCTTTATTGACAATAATCAGATATGATTCTGTAATTATTGTAATCCATTTATTATAAAACACTTTATGGTAATCCATTGATTATAAAAGACTAATGTTCACTTTTACTGTATAATTAAATTATATGTTATTGGGATGTATCTTGTAACTTGTAAGTTTGCATTTATGTATTCTTAGAAGAATGAATGAAATAAAAAAAAGCAAAGATAAAAGGTAAATAAAAGGAACTTTTGTTTATCAATATATAAAGCTATTTTTAATTTTATGTATTTGCTTATCCTCACCTAATAATTTATTTTATGATATTTAATCAGAAGCAACAGTGGAGCAAAATATTATAGCAAACAATTTACTTCATTTTAAACAGTCATCTAGAAATTATCCACGGAATTCGTTGTGACTTATGCAGTTGATAATATAGGCATAAATAAATCAGTATTGATCCAGGTGATGTTCATAAAGTCCATGTATATGGAACAAAAGTCAAAACTATGGAATAAGGACTATCTTCCTTGACTCAACGTAGCTACAGACTTTAGACTCTTGGTGACATCATAAAAGTGAAATTAGCCTGATACCATTATCTATTATATAACAGAAATGGGGACATAATATATTGTGTCCTAAGTATTTTACTAGGAAGAAAACTTGTCCTTGAATGTGCATGTATTTATATATTATCCCAGTAAAGTTCCCTAATTTCCTCACAGAGCTATAGTTCAGATATAATATAACCCACTTAACTGTATTAAAAAAAATTAGAACCCTTTAGGAGTTTCCTAGAAGTATCGGGAATCCTGAACATGAGATTCCAGGATCAAACTGGGAGCTCTGTATATATCAGTCTTGCTCCAGCACTTTGAGCTATCTCTATGGATCCAGAACGAATTTTTAAGAGAAAGAAGTGTTCTTCGGGGGAACAATTTTATTTACCCCATAATTATTAATTAGGTTGTAAAATCTAGGCATTCCTCAAGGCCTCTAGTTGCATGGATATATAAATTGATGTTTTGGATTCATGCAGTACCTTACCATAAAATCTAATGTCCATACTTAAACCCAAGGCATTGTAGCATGTACACCTTAAAGATGAAGTAGCTTTAGGGAACTGCTTTATGGCTCAACAGGCCATGAAAACAAATTACTTGTGAGGAATGGCTCCATTGCTTTCTCTTAGATGAGAATAAAATTCAGGATGCAGAGAGCTGATTCACTTGCTTACACATTTAACAGTGGAAGATCCAAAATAAATAAAAATTACAGAAGTTTGTGGGCATTATTCTTTCCTTTACATTTTTTTGCAGTAAGTAGCATTTCTTTAAGCAACATGATTATCAGGCTGAGAGTGAAACACACATGCATACCCCATACACACATGCCTTAACTGGTACTCTGAATCCAAAAATGTTGCAGGAATGAATTTTCCAGATGAGATGACAATATTGCTCATTTTATTTTGGGGGTTTCTGGTGTTTTAAAACAGATTTAATAAACAATGCAATCATTTACAGTATTTCCAGTGTCGTTTATTTTTATAAGGTGCTATCTGGGGTTGTACTCAATACTTGCTTGATCACATCCACCATCTCTGCCCCAATACTCATTCGTAATGTTAATGCCCATCTTTCTTATTTCCTGCAGGCAATACAAATGCAGAGTCAAGTCAATTTTGCTTCCCTTAGTATTTTCAGTCTTCAATACATTTTAGGGTGTAGGACTATTAGGATTGTCAATTAATTGTCAATTATTTTTCAATGAACATAACAATGAATGAATAGTTAGATTAATGAGTCTAGTGTGAAGAGACAGAAAAGTTCCTAAATTCTCTGCTATGGCAAGTATTTTTGGCATCTTTGCTTATATTTGAATTTCTGCCTGATGGCTGATCTATCCTAAACTATAAAAAGTAAAGTCAGTATTCTCACATTAATTTAGCCTAAAACAACTCAGGTCTCATCAAGTAGGTCTTTAATTCATTTTAGTTTGTGAATTTATGTATTTATGTTTAAAATTATAATTGCTACAATTCAGGTAATCTGTTTACAATTCTTTTAACATGAATACTGTCAGATATACATAGTTCTAGGATCAAAGTACTGGGCCCTCCACTAATCCCTTCTGTTACTTACAGTTCACTGTATTATTCCTCCCACGAAGTTTCCTTCTCACCTGGTGTTCTTCATTCTATAATCCATCATCAAAGATTTGTAATGATTGATATTGTCTATTCTCTGGTTTGGTTCTTTCTACATGTAAATTCTTTGTTTCACAAATGATTGATGACATCTAATCCTTCTCCCTCTAATTTATTTCACTTACTATGATACCCTTTAGCCAAATTGCAACAAACTGCGTAAACTCATTATTTCTGATGCTTGTATCGTATGGTCTTGTGCATATGTATCACAACTTCATGATCTACTTGTTTATTATGAGACATTTAGATTGTTTACATATCTTGACTATTTTACTAAGTGCTCTAACCAGCGTACAAGGTCACCATCACCAATGCATTCCCAAGAGCCATTGCATTTCTTCTACTTTGACATCTTCCTAATACGCAGACATTGGCAATAGACATTGGCATTGACTTCTCTAGTTCGTTTGTTGTCTCAATCCTTTATCACGTTCTGCCCAGTATGATAGAGAGCAAGGTTAACCGATCAATTCCTGTTATGTTTACACCAAAGATAGATGTCGAAATTTATTTTTCTATGGTGTATCTGAGGGAAGTAATTCTAGATAAAGCTTACTTGAAGACTTGGGGATATTATAAAATGTCACACACACAATATGCACATACAAAATCATATCTCATCATCTACTACTTCAGCCAGGACTTTTCTCTTTTCCCAGGACCTCACCTTGACCAATTTGCTCTTTTTGCTCATAACCAGAGTTCTCTTTCCTTCCATAACCCAATATCTCTACTGAACTTTTCCATCCAGTTTTTATATCACCTCAGGCTGGTTAAGCAAAGAACAATGGGGGCTTGTTCATACCCTACTGAGATTTATCCTCTGACCTTTTGTTCAGGCAAAACTCCTGAATTTTTACTTTCTTACTTACAACTTCTGCCAGAAATGGCCCGAAGTAAAAACATTGATTTCATTTGTGAGAAATTGAAGGACTCACAGGAGAAAAGTTTGATTTTAAAATATTAGCATCTGCGCATGTTGCTTTCTAAAATCTGGAATATTTATTATTATTTAGCATTACTATTTCTGTAAAATGTAAAAAAGCTTACATTCACTTGGATTGATTCAAGTTATTTCAACCTATTTCACTTTCAAAGACAGAAGTATGTCTTTGAATATACTGTGTGTCAAGCAATGTAGTAGGCATGTCTGAATTATTCATTTTCACAAATCTAAAATAGCTTTATATTTTAGAGTTAGTGATCCAGTGAGAGTGAATATTTGTAAAGGAGATAAAGCTCATGTCTGAAATAATTTTTATTTAACATAATTTAAATTTTTTAGACATTTATTTATTATGCTAGCATCATTTATCAAAAATCTCTTTCCTTTTGTTAAAGATAAGTAGGCTATATTTATGTGGTTCTAATCTAGATTCCTATTTCATCCTATTGATGTTTATCTATTATTTCACTAATGAACATTATATTGACTTTTGTGGTTTCACAGTAAGCCTGAACGTTGGGCAGTGTCAGTCCTCATCTTTATTCAATATTTAGTATAGTGTTGACAATTCTGGTAATTTGTATCTCCATATAATCTTTAGAATAGTCTTGTTAACATTTACAAAATAGCTTTCTCATATTTTGGTTAAAATTGATTTGAATTTTTAGAACAATCTGGGAAGACCTGAAATTTTGACATTATTTCTGTCTATAAAAATAAAATGCATCTCTATGTAGTTATTTTATAATTTATTCATGAGAATTTTGTAAATTTCCTCCTATTGATCTTTTACATACTTTATTAGGCTTATACAAATAAAAGTTTAATTAAACTAATAGGATATGGATATTTCTAGCCATTTATCTCTTTACTAAGGGGTTATTTCTATTGTGACAAAAATATAAATAGAATTTTTTTTGAAAATTCCACTTTTCATTACTAGTAATAGGAAAGCAACCAATTTTATTATTTTTTATCCTGGTAATCTTCTATAATTTCTTGTTAGTTACATAATTTTTTAATTCATATTATCTACACAGAATATTAGGTCATCTACAAACAAAAGCAGTTTATTTCTTTTCCTCCCAATCTACAAATCTTTTATTTCCTTTCCTTCTCTTCATTGAAACTTCCACTATAATGTTAAAAAATAAATGATGACAAGAGACATCCTTACTTTGCATTTAATCTTCTTGGAAGATTTCAAATTTGTTGTTATATATATTTGTTTTATATATTTGTTGTTATAGATTTTTAAATGAACGTTGTTTTATCTTATTGAGGAAGCTCTCAATTTTTAATTTGCTATAGCACTGTAGCAATGTACCACCGTTGTCCCGTTGTTCGTCGATTTGCTTGAATGGGCACCAGTAGTGTCTCCATTCATACTTGTCTGCTCTCTCCAGGAACACAAAGTGAGACTTGTTGTTACTGATTTCAGGCATATCGAATATGACATGGGGAGCTTGCCAGGCTCTGCTGTCCCGGCGGGATATTCTCGGTAGCTTGCTGGACTCTCTGAGAGGAACGGAGGAATCAAAACTGGGTCGGCCGTGTGCAAGGCAAACGCTGTACCCTCTGTGCTATTCCTCCAGCCCTTTAATTTGCTAATTTTAAAAAATAAAACATAGGTTCAATATTTTGTCAAATGCTTTTCTTGTAGCTATTAGGATAATGTTATTAAAAATTCCTCCTAGGGGGTATGGTGCCACCAGCGGGTCAGTCTGTACCTGTGAGTCAAGTGCATCAGCAGCCTGATGGCGCCTTCAGACTTCCAGATACCCCAAAATTGCTGCTGTGCCTTTAGCCAGACCCCAACAACTTGGGACAAAATATAACAAGAAAGTAAATGGCCAAAACTTAGGTATGTGGGAGACACACCCACAAACCACCTCCGGCTCAGCTATATAATTGGAGGCAAGGCCTCTCTGGTTCCTGGTTGAGCTTCTTGACAGCCATGATCCCAGAGACTCAGAAAGAAATCTCGAAACCCAATAGCTTTTGGCAGAAATGTGTCCAGTTCCTGCAGTAGGTTACAGGTGCTGGGTCACCCCAGGTGGGAATAGGTTTCGTGCCTTTGCCTGTTACCCCTGG